CATTTTCATCAAGGTCTCTGAATTATCCTGAGTATTGGGGAGACTGACTCGAGCAAGAAATTTTGCTGATGTATGTTTTAAAGATGCCCTCTGGGTATTCTTAAGATATCCATTATTTTGTTTTTGTTTGTTAACAATGGAAAAAGTGTTAAACTATGCAAAATATTATAGATGACTCTAATTATAGAATCATTCTAATTTGTAGAGACTAAAGCCAAGTCAGAGGGGCCGGTTAGCTCTCAGGCAAGAGAGTGGAGGCCAAAATATGCAGATAAGTCTGGTCAGTGACAAAGGGGTTGAGCAGAAACCGGCTATCTATGGTGCGCCATAGATGGATTTAGATGGGAAACAGCTGGAGCCAAACACCTACGCATCAGGAAGCACTTCTGTAATCACACAACTGTGACAGGCATTTTCAGCCCACTTTCACTCCTAGGTCATCACATATGGATGCTTGCTCAGGAGCCTGCTGCTTCTCAATTCAGAGCAGAGGATACTTTGAAAGTTATTTTCCATAAGTGCAGGATTTCCTGAGCTTGCACTGAGACATTAAAGTTGAAAGACATGTTGCAATGGTAACCAAAAGAGGTCAGTAAACCTATCTTCAGTAAAAATGGATTTCATTCTTTATCTTAGCACCTAATCACACTTCTTTTTCTAAACTTGGCTACATTTCAATGCACTGTGGAAATGTACTGCAGAGGCATGACTCAATAAAATAAAAAAGAAACAAACAGACCCATGATAAACAACCTCGAAAAACAACAATCCCATTGATCAGTTGGGAAATTCAGGTAATATCAACCAACAACAAACAAAGAAAATAAACCCTGAAGAGTCTTTTTTGTTGTGTAATGTTTTACTTCTTAAGATTTTAACTAAATTGTTCTGTCTTGTTTTTATTCTAATTCAATGTGTGTTTTGAAAAATCTCTCCAAAGCTAATTAAATTCAAGGCTGAAAGACCAGTATTCTTTAACATGATACCATTTTAACAGCTTTTACTTTTGACACAGTGAGAGACTTGACTATTTGGAATAGATGGCTCAGGGCTGCCGCGAAAATCGTACCTGAGTGAGTTCCCCAGTCAGATTGCCCTGGTTATTAAACTATAACTACAACTAGTGAACTATAATTAACCTAACGTGGGTGTGCTTTTGAAGGTTCTGTAAACCCTATTATTCAGATTCAGGGATTCATTCAGGGACCAATTGATTAGCTGCAGCCAAAATGCTGCTTTGGGTTCCCGCTGGAGCTGCTTGTAAATCCTTACTATGAAACACCATCTTAAGTTCTGACTGACTCAAAGGCTGAATATTATTAAGTATCAGTCATACATGACAGATATTTCAAGACAATTCCATAGTGCCCTTTGTCAGTCTTGTCGTTTCAGAATAGGAAACCCCTCATGTAGGTATTTCTCAGTTTTGGGGGTGGGGGGCAATGATGTAGTTCCTTGTTGCAATTCACAAGGTCCTTGTCCATATGCCTGGGAAAAGACACAACCAATCTTGTATTCTGTCAGTCCTGGTTTATGAAGAAAAAGATGATTTTGGCAGGAAGATGCTTTTGGCAAACCAGACACGGATCTGTGGCCTTGAGTCTGTCAGGAGAATCTGTGGAGACTGCAGAGCAGATTGTAAAAATGGCAGCTGTTCTCAAGTTCAGTTTGATATCTAATCTGCATGGTACTGCTCGGCTGACAACTGACACATCATTCACTATCAGCTGTCTCCTGTGTGGGGGAAATCCTTCTGTGATTGTTCTGAATCTTTTTCCAGGGAGGCCAAACCGTCTCAGTAATTATGCACCGTCTGCTCTAGTTCTTATTTTCAAGGAGTCCAAATGAGATGGTCAGCCATGAAAGAAAGAAAGGGTTCATTTTCCATTAAACATAAAAAATAGGCTTTTTTTTTTTTACATTCTCTTCTTCAGATGCTGTGGTCCTGCCTCAAAGCACACTTTATGGTTAGGATGCCATTTTAGGAAGTAGCATGACATAAAGAGTTAAGAGATTATAGAATTACAAACTGTTTAAAACGAAGACATACTTATGTATAATACAGGCGTGAAACAAGAGAAGAAAAGGAAATTGTATGCAGGTTGATAATTGTACTTTATTACCTTGAAAAAAGAGGAACATTTTTAAATGATTTATAAGAAACATGCACCAAGGACACTGATTAATGAAAAAAATCGGTTTTATAATGTCTCTCACTTACCACCCTCAGCAGTGGTGGTCATGAAGGACTGGCTGGGGTTAACTTAACAACCCTTTAGGGAAACAACCAGCACTACAACCAGAGCAAACCTTAATACAGTGTGTGTCGGAGATTTTAGTAGAAAAACTTTTTCAAACAGTGAACCTCAGAATGGAGCTTCAGCAGTTTTTTCAAGTCACATATGAGGTAGTGGAGAGTTTGAATAATCTGTCTCATTTTAAGTGAAATACACTTTTTCCTGACAAGCTGAAAATCCTCAATGATTCCGAAATCCTAACAATGTTACGGTACATTCTTATTGACAGTCATGAATACCATAAATGGTATTCATCCTATATTCATCTGCTAAATGCATATACCTCGGAATTCCTTTTTTGGTACTCTATTTAAGATAGAAAAATAGAAGAAAAATTATGTAGGATCAATTAAAAAATTTTGCTCTAAAAGTTTCCTTCTGTATTTCTCCATAAGAATCTAGTTGAATAAGTTTGAGGTTGATTAAAATTTGGATTTCACTCCAGGAAAGCTTCATAATAAAATGTTAAAAAAACTAAGTGAACATATTAATGGCTAAGCTGATTTTTGTCTTTGATGTTATCATCTTTGTCAAAGTCAGACTCCACAGGACCTTGATTATTTTTTCTTTTTCTTTTTTGTTAAAATGGACGTTTTAAAAAATGTTGAAGAGAACCCTGCAGTGCAAAAAGAAAGTTAGACTCAGAGACTACTGGGCATAAGTTTGAGATCCTATCAAAAGAGAAAAAAACACACATTCTGCTTTCACCAGAAAAAATGATTCATCGACTGCTTCTTTTAATCCCCTGAACAGCCGCAGAGTGGAACAATAATAAAGATACTACTAGTACAAAGGGAAGTATTAAAGAGGAAAGGGTATTTCTGCAGATGAAATCACACACTGAATCCTTGGTGATTTTGAACTGGAATAAATAAAACAGAAGCCGAGCATGTCCAGAAACCTTCACTGTTTGAGTAAGACATTGAGGATGACATAAAATGGTGAAACGATTTTAAAGGCTTATCAAATGAGACAACAGGTCAGTTACCAGCCAGTTTGAAAGAAAAAGGTTGAGGTGTTATAATGCTTTGAGAGGCGGGACTACACTGGAATAACTAAAACAAGTAACAAAGGAGAACCAGATTTCCTATTTTACTGGTTAGTGCACTTGGAAATTTTAGCCAGGCATTTTTGTTGATCTGTTTTTGTTTTTTTTGTAAATGGGTTTTGTTTGTTTTTTCCACTTTCAATAATATATTCCAGCCTATTGAGAGATTAATAACATACAATTATCACAAGTGGCTTTCAAATGTGTGGTTCAGGTATTTGGATGAGAATTACAAACAATACACATGAAGATGCTTTATATTTACTTGGCTTGCCTTTTATTCTTTTTGTTTTTATGCATTTCATGTTAACAGCAAGTGAGAATGCAAATGACTTGAAGGCCTATCATTAAATGAATGCTGATTTTCAGCATTGAGATTATGTTGGTGGGCAGGTGTATCATTAGGGTGATCATTAGGGATGATTATATCAGTGAGGGTAGAACATTACCTAAAATTAGTTTGAGAAAGTTTATTTTCAAATTTGTGTAAAAAATATTAATATATGTTGTGCAATAGTGTATGGTTTCATTGATTAATTCCTGATCTATTTTTGAATAAATCAACATCAAGTATATGATAATACGGGTACTCCAGTCTGCAGCACTGTCTGTCTTCATTTGTAGATAGTGACAAAGAAATCCAATTAAATATTCCAGTATTTGTTAACTGGGTTGTCTTACAGGGATGTGCCTAGAAAAGAGGTTTGTAATATTCTTTCTGTATGAAAGCAGGAAAGCATATATTTCAGTATATCCCAGTGTACCATGTCCCGGAAGTATGATTTCATGAATGAATCAATATTTAGATGTATCATTTTCTGACAGCATTTTCTAATACAGTCAGTCAACATAAACTTTCAAATATGAGTAAAATTTTGTTTCGGTTTTGTAAATTAAATAGGCCCTGCACTGTGACCTTCTGACCTACATAAATCAGTTCTCATAGCTGCTGATATAGATGGATATATGTTTTAATAGGTTCTGCCATTTAAGAACAAAAACAAATTTATATGAAATCTAAAATCTGTTTCTCAAGTTGTCAAACTCTGAAGACCGATACATATCTTTCTTCATTTGAATGTTTCCATTTTTCACAATGCTCTCATTCAACACCCCCAAAATTCAGGGTAAATACTTAGCTATTTACTCCACTACGCTTATGGGGACGATTTCCCCGTCATTCAAATCTGGGACTACGTTGTGGTGAACTATCTATCCTTTTATGAAGTTCGTGCATAAAATATTTCATCTCATATAGACATAAACATTCGGTCATATAAAACCAGCCAAAAGCCACATTATGATTCAAATTAACTTTATTGATACTCTACTGGAGCGTCTGTGGCGGTCACTCCGCGGTAATACCGGCCGTCACCAGCAGAGGGCGCCTCCCACCCAGCCCTGCCATGCTGTGCGGAAGACAACTGTAAATATTTTTGTGACGTTACACTCCAATCCACCCATCCAAAGGAACAGCAGGAGCTGTACCTCTGCAGCTGGTCACAGCTCTGTTGTTTCATCCTCTGTGCCGATTAACCCCAGTCCCCCCCTCCCACACACACACACACACACACAAACACACCTCTCTCGTTAACAGTAGCCGAATTGTCTCCTTTATCGCCACCGCTGAGTGTCTTCTGCAGCCTGGTTCCATCATGCAGAAAAGAAGGAAGCCGGAGCCGATCCAGCTGAACCCGATCCCCGATGGGAACACCATCAACGGCACCGGAGCCTCTGAGTGAGTGTCGATGATTATCTGATGTTCCGATAGGTGATTCTCAGACGCGTCCTGGTTGTGTCGGATTCGTGACAGCTGCCAGTGGACGCGCGTGTGTCCGCGTGCGTGTGTCCAGGTTTCGAGTGAAAACTCTTGAGACTCTGCACCAGATTTAACACTGTGATCTTCTAACAACCTGAACGCTGCCTGCAGCTGAGGAGCCTGATCCTTAATGGTTGATAGAATCATTTAAAGGTAGATTCATCCTCTGAAGAAGTTTCTAACAAAAGGCCATTGTTTGATTTAATCTATTTAACCATATTCATTTTCTGAAATTATTTATCTTATGTACTGTTTCATTATTTGGACTGTAACATTTTAGAAATGTTGATAACTTGATAAAATGGTATTGGTATAAGCCTAAAATGAAAATGGGGAATACAGAGAAAAAGGAACAAAACAAACACTTATGCTTAATATGTATTTACGGACTATTTTAAGTGTTTCTTAAAGTTGATCATTGTTTAGCTTTAACCAACTGTTTGGAATTCCTAGAGGATACAATAATGATTATATGATTAGGGATAATCTGCAAATCCTTTTATAATGAATCAATTTCAGATAATTACTCACTTATTTTTAACTGATAAATCATCACTTACGTTAGATTTAATAAGCAATTCTTCTTTATTTGTCTGCAAATCATTCCAAGCACTGGGTATTTGAACTAAACATTAGTTCTATTTATTTGTGTTTCCAACTGTTTGTGTCAGAAGTGTAAGATTCTCTGCTCAGTGTGCCCCACGTGCACTCCTCAAAACATCTCTGTCTACAAATCCCGGCTCTCTATTGCTCTTCAGGCAGACCTCTTGGGATGATTTTCAATAATGAGTCTATAAGGTTAAGAAGTTTAGTGTGTCAGCCTGTTCCCTCCACTGTTTGTCAAAGCATGGTAATGGAGACGTAGAACTTTTGTGACACAAGCTGAGTCCAGAGCAAGGATCACAAACCGGATCAGCCGAGATAAGAATGACATAACACGTCGTCTGGTGAGTTCTGCTCATCCAATGTGTGTTGGAGACAGGATCTCTAAGAGCTTAAATTGTGTCTGAAGACCATCTATTACCTTTGAAGTGAAAAGTTTTTTTTTACAATAAAATTTACTGTTTTTAAAGTCAGTTTCAACATCAGTTCAAATTTATCCAGCAACTCTATAATCACAATTTTTGGTCCCCTCTGGACAGGAAGTCAGTCCATCATCACAGGTCCACTCAGAGACAACCATGACAACAAAAAGAATAATAATGCCCCCACTCACTCCTATGTTTAACTTAGAGAGACCAGTTTTCCAAACATGTTGGAGATTCTCAGTCATCCAGGTCATGATAATCCTAACTGGACCTCTTCTTGTATGTTGAAACTCTTTGGCCTCTCCCCTAAAGGGCTTACTCAGACGTTAAGAGGAAACCTAACCTTCTTGCTTTTGGGCGGCACAATGAAGCAAGAGCCTCTGAGTAAACCTGCAAACACACTGGGAGAAAATCTGACATTAGTCAGGACCACAGCACCGTGCGAAAATATGTAAACTTGATTACAAATTCTACGGCATGAGCCGTTCCTCAGTAATATCAGTAGAAGCTGCTGATGTTGACCTTATGTTTGGCCAGAGCTGCACACATTCCTGAATCCTGCTGCTGCTGCTGCTGCTTTAGGGCAGGCTGTACTGGGAAAGGGAGCAAAAAGTTGGGGTTGGACAACAATCGAGAACTGTGAATCAGACATTTGGAAACCCTGCTGTGTATGTGCTAATGCTGCTGCTCTGTGTCACAGTCTTTCGACAGATAGACTTAGACTCAACTTTTTCAGCCCTTGGGTTTACCGCTTCTTTTCTGGGAAATTCTGGTTCCAGTAGCTTATATAGAGTACAAAGGGCAAGATGCCGTTACATTTAAAATACAACGGACCATATATGAAGAGTGTATATAGTACAAAAGAGCATAAGAAAAGTTTTAATGTCCTGGAATATGTTTCCTTTTTATATAAAATATCTGCACAGAAGAGCTAAGGAAAGACTACACAGTAGTTGACTTGGATTATTGCACTTGTACTGAGAGATGTACTGACATTATAAATAAGTAAATAAGTAATAAATTACGCTGACTACACAGAAGTTGGCATGTGGTATTGCACAGTGAGAGAGAAGAATATTGCACATAAGTGGCAATAGGTCATGTTTTGCACAAGATGTCCAAGCAGGGGGGTTGCTGACCCTTGTCCCTCTTCCTATCACCCCCTCCTTCCCCCAAGTGAGGAGTCGTACAGCTCGACGGCTTGAGGAACAAAGTTGTGCGGTCTGCCCGATATGCTTTCATTTAATTCTTACACACTTTGTTGTTTTAACTAGCATGGAACCTGACTCCTGTACACTTCCATAAAAAAAGATAATGTGCATAAAATGGAACCCTTAAGCTGTGAGGTACTACTCAGGACATATGCATTTTCTTGGTGAAAGAAAAGAACAGACCAACACATCCAAACAGGATTGATGACAGTTTTTATGATTGATTTGAGAGTTGTAAAGTTTTAGATTTGATTATGCTCTCACGAACAGATTACTTGAATAATTTATTGATTACAATGCCAATCAGGCGTAATAGCGAACTATGGAGCTTTTTCTTCAAGCTCTTTCTCCAGACTCAACAGTATTTTTGTACCTAGAAACCTTGTCTAGCTTCTTTTTCTACCATTCAATGAGAGGCAATAACTTCCAGAGTCAAGTTATAATCACTCAAAAGTGATAATACGATGTGTGTATTTTTTTTTGTCTGTTCTTTTAATACGTCAAAGAGGGGAACAAGGCCTCTATAACCCCATTACAAAATTTTGTCCATGCAACCATTCACAGGCTTCTGGAAATACGTTTTAATATGCAGTATTTCTAATGCTTTGATTCTCTCATGAAATGCCCCCCAATAAAGGAGCTAATTTAAGGGCTAAAGCCTGTTTTAAAGTATTTTACCTCTTTGTTTCATGTTTGTATGAAACCTCTCTGAATTGTCAGTTTGAGTTGTTTGTTTTCATATTTTCTCCCTGAGTGTGTCTCACTGTGGCTGATTTACTCACAGTGTCTTGTCACAGCTGGCATTTTGGTTTGTTACAGCTGAAAGGTGTAATTATGTGGAGTCATGCGAATCGTTAACGGTGGAGCAGCTCCCTTTTTAAGTTTTCAGCAAGCCGAGACAAGGAACCAGCCTGTACAACAACAGGACATCCCCTATGTGGAATCCAGCCTTCATTAGCACACTGTTCCTGCTGTGTTAAGCAAATGACTGTCCATGAAAAGTAACCTCACAAACTGGTAATCAAAGTTTGACAACCTCAGACAATTCATGGTGTTGCTTTAGTCTTTTTAGCTTCATAACATTCAACTTATTTTTACGGTGTTCTCATTTTAGCAGTCGCTCTGAACAATAGAATTCAGTCATCGGTACATTCACAGTTCTGTGACTGTCAGTGAAAAAGATTGTTTGTTCTGGAAGTTGGATTTTAATCGATTTGATAGCAGCAATCCCTGTCTGTCAAAACTATAGGTGAAGCTCACAAGAAAAAAAACACGCTGTTTTGAATAGGAAGGGAGGAAATGGCTAATGGTTTAAAACATGCATTGAATTTGCAGGTTGTTTGGTGCAGTTTGTACCGGTACACAGGCCGACCGGATGCTGACAAAGCTACAAAATGCGTTGCATAATGGCTGTGTATGAACTTAATCCAATCGATGAGCCTCTTCCTGAAACCAGACTGTTGAAAAGGAATTGCCATTCCACAATGCTAAATGCTTTTACAGTGTGAAATGGCTGGCAGCCTTTGGGGAGGTTTGCTGAGTGCCCACATAAAGCCAGACAATTATGGGATATCAGCGCTGGAGATGAAAAAAATCCTTTTTCTAGTTGATTTTGGAGAAAAATCTGCCAACAGACAGCCTCATAGGAAATGTCTGTTGACAGTAAGCCTGTCAAATTTGTTGGAAAAGTTTTATTCAGATTAGCTGCGAAAATTGATGAGATGGAAACGAGCTGGTGTTCTTTTTCCACCTCAACCCGTGATAAAACATGTAAATGGACACTACTGCAACCCTGTGAAACACCAAAACAAACCATCCATCCTCATTCTGATCAATATGTGGTTCATAAAAGATGCATGTGGAGCGCACGAGGCGGTTTGTTCTCGGTCCAACCGTTTTTCTGCTGGATGCTGTGTGGACGGAGTGGCCCTGCATCGTCCACCTCCTCCTGCACCTGAAGGGGAGTTGCAGTGTGGAGTGACTGTAGCCTTCCCCACATATTGTGTTCCGTGGATCCTTTTCTTGGTATCTCCTGCCTCTCCCACCTCCAGCTCTTGTCAACAAAACACCCACGCCTCCCACATCCAGCTGAAACGTCTCCATGGATATGTGGGCCTGCTGTCAAAAATGAATGCTCTCTCTCTCTCTTTCTCTCACTGAGAAAAGAGAGCACAGGCTAGCCAGGTGCAGAGCCTGGAAAGGAAAAAAAAAAGGTGTTGTAACCCTTAAAGGCTCGATGAAAACCTGAATTCATGATTTAATGACAGAAGCGCTAACTGGCTTTGTGTGTGGCCGTGGAGTGTTTGAGACAGTGTTGAGTGGGTGAGATCAGAGGAAGATACTCCACTGTAAAGAGCATTACCATGACAACATTGCAGGGGGAGTAACATTCTCTTTCCACAACTTAAAGCTTGCGTTAATTGTGCTCTGAAAGTTTAACACTGAAATATATAAGGCAGCCATTTCTGTCTTCCTGCACACCAGTAGTTTGCTCAGAGGGGCATGTGGAGACACAGAGCTCCGTCTTATTTCTGAGGATAAAGATACACAGAAAATGATCTAAGGGCACCAGTGTGAATATATTCATAAAGGAGTAGTTCTCTAAATAAAATCTGCATATTGCCTGAATGGATTTAGATCTATTTCACCCCGAAGAAAAACACCATGAAAAAATCAACAGCAATCGTTCTCTCTTTTTTCAAAATCCCTTGTCTGTGCAAGAACAAATTTGGAGGCTCTGCAGAAAAAGCTGGAGGAGCTGGAGCTGGATGAGCAGCAGCGGAAACGCTTAGAGGCCTTTCTGACCCAGAAACAGAAGGTGGGAGAGCTGAAGGACGATGACTTTGAGAAGATCTGTGAGCTGGGCGCTGGCAATGGAGGCGTCGTCTTCAAGGTCTCACATCGACCCTCTGGTCTGATTATGGCAAGAAAGGTGAGCTGCACGTGCAATGTTAGAGACTGAACAAGCTCCAAGTCAAACTAACAAGCAGAGATAAGTGCTATGATTGCTGCCATTTACCATGATCTTAAATTTCATGGTAAAATAAGATCTTTTCTTTCCTTTTTAGCGCAGCACGAACCCTTTCCTGTTATCCGAAAATCCCGAAATGTTATCCGAAATGTCACAAAATGAATGAATCATCTGGCACTTATCTTAGGTGTCACGTCTATGAATAGAAAGCTGCGGTCTCCTTTGTTCCAGCTGATCCACTTGGAGATTAAACCGGCCATCAGAAACCAGATCATCCGGGAGCTACAGGTGCTTCATGAGTGTAACTCCCCGTACATCGTCGGCTTCTACGGGGCTTTTTACAGCGACGGAGAAATCAGCATCTGCATGGAGCATATGGTATGGATTTGTCTACTATTGTTTTTCCATCTGCTTTCACTTATTATTTCCACAAACTGTACCTTAGGGGCCCAGATTTGTCATCTGTTTTTTGTTGTTTAGTTTTTTTGTCTGCCCATATTTGAGAAACATCCCACTGAAGTTTTTAACAGCACTTTTCCTCTCATTCTGGTGTTCCGCAGGACGGTGGCTCTCTGGACCAGTCGCTGAAGAAAGCAGGCAAGATCCCTGAGCAGATCCTTGGCAAAGTCAGCATTGCTGTGCGTAGTTTCAGGCACTTCTTTTACCTTTTTTTGCATAATAGTATTCAAACCAGTTAAACGTTATATGCAAAAAAAAAAAAGATTTTTTAACAATGCGAATGCATTAGAGGATTAGGATTTGTAGTTCCAATAATTTCTACTGTAATGCGCTGATATGTTTGCTTCTTCTTTGTTTTCCTAATAGGTTATTAAAGGGCTTTCCTACCTGAGGGAGAAGCATAAGATCATGCACAGAGGTCAGTGACATGAATTTACTACCTTCTTTAGAATGTTGTGCAAAGACAGCATTAGATAAATAAAGTTAGATTTCTTTATTGACTTGTCTTCGTATTTGAATAATAGCAAATTTGAAATCTGATACTTTTTTTCAAAGGTTTGGGCAACAAGACAATTTATGTAATACTGAAAGGAGAAAAAAAACACCTGTAACACACCATTACTAATCATTTTAACTGGCAGCATGAGGCAGGATTAAAAAACACAAGGTTTCTTAGAAATGCATCATCCACAGTGTCAATTCAAGTTTGTAATATGCCGAATCAAAGTGAAGGGTATACTTAGGTAAAGGGCTCCCTCTTGTGTGTCCTTATGCACACTGTGAGGCCAAAAAACAAAAACACAAAGACAAAATCCATCTGCTGATTAAATCTAACCTCATGTGACAACTTACACTGGGAACACATTTAGCCGCTGTTAGCATCGTCGGTTTCACTCACTGTAAACCGGTGGCAATAAATAATAGAGGTAAGAAGTGTATCCTATTATAAGACATGGAAACATTACAAAAACTCTTCCACTGGAACTCGCCCTGACAGATGTATCTAAATCACTGCTAATTATAAAACATTAAAAGACATGAACCCCGCAGCATCTTGCTCTGTGCTGTCTATCCCCCCCCCCCCCTTTCAGATGTCAAGCCTTCTAACATCCTGGTGAACTCCCGTGGTGAGATCAAGCTGTGTGACTTTGGTGTGAGCGGACAGCTCATAGACTCCATGGCCAACTCCTTTGTGGGAACACGCTCTTACATGTCGGTGAGTTAAAGAAATGAGTAATAACGTGTCAGGATTAATGTTCGTAAAATGACCAAATCTCCTCAGCAGCTCCTTCAGAAACGATAAGTCAGAAGCTGGTTTTGTAACCACCGATCACCGTGTTGTGTGCAGCCGGAGCGTTTGCAGGGGACCCACTACTCCGTCCAGTCCGACATCTGGAGCATGGGGTTGTCTCTAGTCGAAATGGCCATTGGACGGTTCCCTATCCCCCCACCTGATTCCAAGGAGCTGGAGCAGATTTTTGGAATCCCCGTGGAAGGCGAGGCAACCTCCGGTGAGACCTCTCCAAAACCGCAGCCTCCTGGGCGGCCAGGCAGTTGTAAGTCTCAAGATGTTTCATCCAGCAGGATTTTTTATCAGCAGCCTTTTTGATAAAGTGATTATGTCACTCCCAAAGCTTACGGGCCAGACAGCCGACCCCCGATGGCTATATTTGAGCTGCTTGATTACATTGTCAATGAGGTGAGTTCCCTCACAATATTCACAGTTTGGTTTCATGATTATACACAAATGTGCACTTCACTGTTCTGGTCCTAATTTCAGCCTCCACCAAAGCTGCCGGCGATATTTAGCTCTGAATTCCAAGACTTTGTAAATAAATGGTAAGTAGTATTTTTACCGAGATGAAATAAATCCATTTGGTTTTGGCTTTACGCCATCTGGTTTTCAAACAGATGTCATGACTTTGTTTCTGCTACAGCTTGATTAAAAATCCTGCAGAGAGAGCAGACTTGAAGCAGCAGATGGTGGGTGTTTGCATTTAACCAGATTCCATCCCCATTCCTGAAGGTTTCACCATCCTAAACTTTTTTTCCCAGGTGCATCCTTTCATCAAACAGTCTGAGGCTGAGGAGGTGGACTTTGCAGGCTGGCTGTGCAGCACCATTGGACTCAGTCAGCCCGTGACCCCCACCCACGGTGCAGCCATGTGAGGGCTGTCACCACAGCCCATGTCTGACCAAGACCATTTTTTAATCCTTGAAAAATGTTTATACAGAGTAAATACTGGATTTAAACCATTAAAAAAAAAGATGGATATTCTGTGTGCACACTTACATGCCAAGTTAAATTATTACATTTGGGCTATCTTGCAGGCCTAACTGGAAAGCCATGTTTTTTCTAAAGGTCAAATTCTGAAAAATGCTGCTACACCTTTGTGCTTGATATTCCTTTTTATCCCTACCCCTCCACCCTTACATAGCAAAAAGTCTAATCTTTGTTAGCTTTATGTGAAAATAGTCTTGTGAATTAAACGTTTGAAAGACACCAACGGCTTGTTTATTTGAAAGAACTGATTTATTTTCTGAACACCAGTCTGTAGGTAAAGATTTATGCCTTGGGTTTTGCAGGTGCTGCCTTCTTTACGGGCCTTTTCTTGGGTTTCAGCATCTTGGCCTTGATCTATGAAGAAAAAAAAAAACGAGATGAGAACTCAGGAACTCCGTTAACATTTACAGGCCCTCCTTCCATCCAGCCGTCCTACTTACAGCAGGGTCGTGCTGCAAGATGGCATGACGTCTCGCTGTCTTGGCGTACGGGTTCAGTTTGAGCATTATCTTCAAATTCTTCAGAGGATTCTTCTTCAGAACTCTGCGGTTGATCTTCTTGCTGTAATGACAGTAAAGCTAGACTTTAACAGTGTTCACGTGTGCAGAACTGCTACAGGAGAGGGGAACTTTCTGCATTACTCAGGACTTCCATATAATCAGGGTTCAGAAACACGGACCTGAAGTGGAAAATCATCATAGCCGATAAGATAAAAGTTTAGAAAAGTAAAGCAGTGATGACGTACTTGGGTGCACGAAGTGCTTTCTGGATCTCCTCACTCTTCAAGATCCTGCTCAGATCTGTGTTGGTCATCTTGTGCATTGGCAGGCTGAAACAAGAGGCAGGAAAAACTCAAATCTCCAACCACACGAAGAATGACGACTTAAATACTGTGCTGCTCAAACTCAGAACTTCGATAAATATCACAGGGTTCAAAAACACGGACCATGAAGTGTAAGCTCATCACTGATGTTCAGCCGCAACACGCCAAGCTGTAAATGTGCTAGAAGCAGCAGAACACTCCAACTCACTTGTAGTCCACCTTCAGGGTGGATGGTTTGCGCCAGGTGCCGTACAGTTCGTCCAGCTTGCGGAAAGCACTTTCTGTCCAGATGCAGAAGCGTCCAACGTGCCCTCCGGGAGCGAGCCGCAGCAGGTTCAGCTTGTTCACGTTCTGCAGAGTGATGCCTGCACAAGGCAAAACGCAGAGTTAACCCAATCATAAAGAGTTCAACACATCTGTGGTGTCAGGACCCAATAACTTTGGATGCATTTGGTTATTCACCTGGAATATTCCTGAAGGCTTTGGTTAAACCAGCGTCCTGGTTGTAGATGATACACGGACCTTTGCGCTGGATCCGTCTACGGTTCCTCATCTTTCCTTTACCGGCACGCATGCGCTGAGAGGCATAGACCTAAGAACACAAAGTTCATATGAAGCTACCAAGTTCACTACAACTCCTGGGGGGGGGGGGATAATAGCACCCCTAAATATCAGTTTTGTGAAGTGCATTTTGTTTTAAATATAAAACATGGAAATATGTAGAGAACAGCAAAGACTTCTACACCCTCCACAGTTAACGATACTGAGGACAGCACTTGTAACCCCAGATTTGTGTTTTCATAAACGACAGTGGGAGGTTGTAAGCTACAGTAAACATTTGATTAAATCACATCTTTTAAACCCCTCTTAAAAAAAAAAAAAAAAAAAAAAAAGACAGGTGTTCAATTTAATTTTTTGTTCACCTTCTTGATGTCATTCCAGGCTTTAAGCTTCTTCAACAGGAGGACTGCCTCCTTGGTTTTCTTGTAGCCCTCAACTTTGTCTTCAACCACCAATGGAACCTCAGGGATTTCCTCAATGCGGTGCCCTAAAAAATAACAGACAGGTCACTCAAAGACAGATAAAATAAAAAATAAAAAACCTGAAATGATGCCTTTGCCACCTAATCTTGCTCAGAATTTAAAAACACATCAATACTCTGCAAAGGCTTTAAGACAGCAGGCAACTGTCACCGTTCACAGAATCAGACGCAAATTACACCATCATGGCAAGTCAATTTGGAGATAAATTCATTCAACTACCTCTGTGGTATAGCTACATTTCTGGAACTTACCCTTGGACATCACCAGTGCAGGAATAGCAGAAGCAGCCAGGGCAGAGCAGATGGCATAACGCTTCTGGGGTGTGTTGATCCTGCGGTGCCAGCGGCGCCAGGTTTTAGTGGGAGCAAACATGCGACCACCACGACACATCTAAGCCTAAGTCAAGGATGATTAAGACTTAATTAACAAATAATTTAAGATTTCAAACCTGCTCAGACTCAAAGTTCATCAACCAACTGTGCCAGCATATGACAGCAGGCATTCTGTCACTGGTCACAGAGTCAGACGCAAATTACACCATCACAGCAAGTCTCCATGTTTAGCTACTCGTGGGATCTAAATGGTAAAGGGAGGCGCAGTAAGTAAAGCTTAAATCTGATCAAAAGGATACATTTCCAAAAGCACCCTGGCCAGAGCGGTGGGTACCGCCTCCTCTCACACGAGGGATACGGGCCACAGCTCTTCCTGTACCCCAGGATTCTGCGCTTGTCTGGTGGCCTGAAATGTACATATTGTGCATTGACTTAATACTGACACAGAAAGAGCTGACCTGAAACACGCTCAATCATTTATATTATCCAAGCAAATGAAGCACTCACCTGCCAGTTCGCTGACAGCATATGGCTGGCGGTTGTTTTTGCGCATGTTGGTGTGCACAAAGTTAACGACATCAGGGCGAATGGGGGCCTTGAACACAGCAGGCATGACCACATTTTTGCCTGAAGATTCTCCTTTCTCAGAAAACACTGAGATCAGGGGACGGGCACAAGCCTAGGAGGAAAAAAAGTTACAAAAATCTTAAATTCACCGAAAGAAGAACAATCAACTGAAAAGGTTAACTTTAAATCAAGAGTCAAAGCTCATCTTCACTATTTTTATCGTAACTGCTTGATCACTACCACTACGATACATCAATTGATGAAATAGATGCTGATTAAAATTAAACAAATTTAAAAATGTGTTTTTCTCCAAATTTCTCAATTAAATAAAAACGAAATCTCGACGACTCCATCTTAGCACATTTCTGCTAGCATGCCTGCCCATGTTATTCTTAAAGTTAACCTGAACACTTGTTAAAAATGACGAAAGCCTGAAAGGGAGGATAAACAGTTGACAATGACGGTATATGCCTCCACGACATATTTAACCGTCTTTGCAGTTTAGATACGCGAACTGCCCCGATAGAAGCAGCAACACGTGTAACTTGGGTGTACTGCTCCTTGTGCTTATCCAAAATGGCTCCCTCGTGTTAGCTTAGGTAGTTAAGAGTATAGCCTTCACAGCTCTGATCTGAATTTAGAAATGAAGGTTTCGGATCCGGTAATGCCAAAGTCACCCACGATGTATTCTAAATAACTCAAGGAGGATCGCATTTAATAAGGTATTAACAATGATGTATGTATTTTCTCACCATTTTCGGTAGTTTTTCGGCTCGCCGGGAACCACGCTCCTCACGCTATGGCGGCCACAGTAAAAAGGAAGTTGGCACGTCACCCGTCATGACTTATGCCTCCGCCTGGGTAGAAACTACTTCCGTTGAGAGCATCTTTTTATATGCAATGGGTCAACCCCCCCGCAAAAACAATTAATTAGATTTAAGTCGCTATACAAATACTATTGCTTAATATTTGTAATTTAATTGTGATAATTGAACAGAAAAACTAAACATGGTTCTTGCAGATGGGACTATTTCTTTACTCCATGTTGGCGCAACATTAACGGTGAAGCCGAACTCCACCTCTTTCCTTTTTAAATTAAATGCTGTTCAATTATGATTTTACAAACACATATCAGCACAGGAACAATTATAATCCATTCAACCTTTTTAACACATCTAAATATGTCTTTCGTCAATATTTATGAGGATGACCTGTGACCTTATGTCGTCACTGTGTGGCTGAGCGCGGGACTGTATGAATATAAACAGTAGCCAAACTTTGTTCCCTCAGCGTTTATATTGGAGAAGTATTGTATAGTATTTTGGCAGACGATACTGCCAGTGTACAGACTAGTTTCGGAATGGGCTCAAAGGTGATATATAACGCAAATGAGTTTTTCAATTCTCTTCGGTAAGTTTTAAAGGAACAGCGTTTGTAACATCGTTACTCCTATTAGTTTACGTTTGCATGGCGTTTTTGTTCATAGAGGGAAAGGCATTTTTAATCTCTGTACTCATCATTACGACGTTACAACTTTGTTGTTTGTATTGTGTTGGTTCCAGTTGTCTACAAGAAGAGGAAAGCAGCGATTCACTGACATACAAGGTAATTTCATTTGCTTGTCCTGTTTCCACTAGGGATGTTTGTAAGTTTAAATCTTATGACGTATCTTTTGTTTTTCAGGAAGACATCCAAATATTAAAGATAAACGGGGACAAATTTGATGCGTTGAATTTGTACTCTGGAAACCAGACCATTTTCGTCTGCGAAAAAGCTGTGAGTAACGTTTATCCTTTCACATGCTAGAGTCACTGAAAACGTCATCTGGTGCCCTAGAGCAAAAACATTTTCCATTTAATTGTGTAATTTACATGAAAGTTTGCAACGTCTGAATAGTATGAGTTCACTGAAAAAACTCAAAGAATAATTGCATTAAAAGGCAACGTTGTGAGGATGTGTTCATGTATTCTATTCAAATTTGAGAAAATTGAGTTTGGACTTTTTCCAGGGATTTAAATGTGTTCAGCCAGTATCCTCAGAAAAAGCCTAAACTCAATTATCTCGATTTAGAAGGGCATAAATGATCAAATCCTATCAACTTTGACTGTATAGGTAATTAAACTTGGATGTCTCCACTGTGAACCGTTTTTTATACAGAAGTATAACTTGTCTGGAATTATAGAAATCATAACAACACAAATACACTGACAGTATTTTTTCCATTTTGTATTTTGACCTTCGGGTCATGTTTTGATTTTGAAAGGTTGCTAAATTAAATGGACCGGATGATTCACAAGTGAAGAACATGTCAAACTGCTCGGGTGATGAGCTTGATAACAGTGCTGATGATCTGCAAACAGAGCCGGGACCACAGCCACTCACAACCATCAGAGCAAGGTGAGCAATGATAAGATTCAAAATAACATCAATGCTTACAGGATTAGTCATAAAGCAAACCGTTTTTCTCTTTATGTAGGGAGCTGCTTTCTTGGTACACATTGTCTCAGAACGCTGGTGTGCAGGGTGTGAACAGCAGTCTTATGCCCTTACACCCTCTGTGGGTGCGATGTGATATGTCTGACCCAGATGGAACCTTTTGGTTTGGGGCTGAACCAGTCTGCATGAACAATAAAGTAACTGGAATGAAGTTGTACTCCGTTACCAGCAAAGGTTTAACTTAACAGTCCTTTTTGATTCACCCTTACTGTGATCATTATTTTTAAACAGTTTCTTGCCTAATTTAAACTTCTGTCTCTACTATTATTTGCACTAAAAGGATCAACTGTTGACAAAAAATCTCTCGTAACCTTAGAGGAACTGAAACAAGAGCATAAGAAAAGGCATCATCCATCCTCTGTAAGTACCCCCCCCCATACTGGTCATTACAGATGAAAGCATTTCATCACCTATATATCTTCACTACCTCCAGATGGGCATTAGAGGCAGTGCACGATTCACCTTGTTTGGTTCAACTATTGTTGAAAACACCACCATCGAGTCACAGAGCAGCGTCACGGTCGATTTTAAGTGGAGTCATGTGGAGAGTATCCTGGAGATCCCACCTCTCTCATCTACAGCGATGCTAGTAAGTGGAAATAATTCAGACCTTGTTTCCTTCACTCAATGATCAACACTTTGTGTTTATATAAAGGGATTAAAATGATAACCATAAACTTAGAAAAGAGACTGAAGTAATGTTATTCATTCAGTTATAATACGTGTAAACTGTGATTCTTACTTATTTTTTCTCCTTTCACCTGCAGAATATCAAAGTTGCAAGTGGAGACATGAGAAGTCCAATGTTTGAGATGTACAGGGAGCTGGAGTTTCTTCAGGTTTGGGCTTTGCTGAAATCTAACACTACAGCAACGTTGATCGTGTACATTATAAACTGGCTTAAATCTGATCCCTGTCGTTTCAGATTCTTGCTGATGGTTTGAGAACTGGTGAGACTGAATGGTTGGAGCCTTTGGAAAGTATGTCAGCTGTAAATCTGACCAAAGCCTACCTGGAAGGTACCCTCTTTCAGTAAAACCAACAGAATTGAAGAGGAAGCTACCCAATAAGCTGACTAGTTGGCCGGAGATTGATGGCATCACCTTGTTTTTGCTGTTTTTCTTCCAGAGCTTCAAAACACTGCAAAAACACTGCAGGATCAGGCTGCGAAAAAGGCTGAGGTGTGATGATGTTCAGAAATATATATCTGAGATGTCTTCATTTAAAAAAACAAAAAACATCAGGCAACTTTCTTGTGTTTTCATATATTTTTGAAGATCTCAAAGACAAAGTCTGAGACAGAACCTCAGATTTTCGACTCTTTCTTGGAAAGAGGTGATTTGGATTTTGTGGAGCAGCTGTGGGTTCGGATGAGAAAAAGTGAGTTTAAAAAAAAAATGAATGCAATGTAAAATTGGTGGTATTAACAGCTGTTTTATTTTTCTGATACAGGTGTGACCTCATATCAGGACATTGGAGACTGCCTGAAGCTGGTCATTGAAGCTTTAAGATATGGAGACATTAAGCCCTGGGTGTGGAAAGATGGAAGTGAAATTGTTTTCATAAAATGAAAACCTAAGGCGAACTGATTTCTTTATTTTTCTTCCTTCCTTTAGATTCATAGGGACAGCAGCAGCTCCCTCAGTAAACTTATTCTGCAGTCGTATCACCAGCAGATCGATCCTGTGTCTCTCACAGGAGTCACTCCTGTCAACATGCTGCTGGAGATGGGTCTGGACAAAATGAGAAAAGACTATATTAACTACCTCATTGGTAATATTTTGTACTACTTTCCTAAAGCACCTTGTGTAACTCATGTTTCTGTAGTCCTTTGTCTGTCATTGATCAATTCTAAACTTTCATGGATGTTAAGCTGTATTTTTGTTGTTTCTCTCAGGTGAAGAATTGACGACTCTTAACCATTTGGTGAGTATTTTATTGATATCTTTCAACAACATATTGCAACAGTGCACTAAGTATAAGTCATTTGTTTTACAGTATTATTACCTGAGCACAGATGTTGACCTGCAAGAGCAAGTGATCCGACTCAGAAAACTGCACCACCTGCTGGAAATCATTGTGACCTGCAGTACATTCCTGGGTTTGCCCTACGACCGGCTCTTCCTCCTCACGCAGTATGCAGATTGACTTGTTCCAACAGTTTGAGTATTCAGAATGTTTGATCCATAAGCTGATTCAGATTTCTTCCTATTCATTTACTTAGATCTTGTTTGCAACACTACAAAATGGAACCATTTGATGAGGAGCACGAATTCAAACTGCAAATAAAACCTGCCCTGATCAGCCATTTTTATCAAAAGTAAGGCACACATTCTGAAGATGTATTTTTCAATTGACTTCTATCCAAAGCTGCTTACCACTAAGGAACAACCTTCGTTTCTTTTTTTTCAAAATCCTACACTCTTTACTAAAAGCAAAAATTCATTTAAATGTGGTTTTAGAGGACTTGTCCTAGGAAGAGATGAGTCTTCTATAGATTCTTGAAGGTAGGATGGGTAGCCCTGCTAAGACAAAATGTTTTTACCACCAATGTGGAGCCACAAATGGCAACAGTCTATTTTCAGGCTGCTTTCAGACCCTTTATCTCTGTTGTAATCTAGTTTTGCAAAGTGTTTTCACCCACAGACGTTTCCATAAAGTTGAAACACAAAGAAAGTAAGAATGTTTAATTGCTCTAGTAAATATAGATTTATCATGAAAAAGGCTACTCACCACAGTGCAGAATTATCCACTTTTTAGTTTTGGTCACCTTAAACCAATCACTTTACAACTGTTGGGTTGCTTTAACTCTGCTGGGATGAAAATTAACACATTATCTGCATTTTTAATCGAGCTGTATTTTTTGCTCACGGCTCATATGATACAATTCTTATTGACATTTTTCTTTACCAAGTTCAGAATACCCTTTCAGTGTAGGATTTCCTGTAGTGATACAAATTTTCATTGTCTTTTGTGCAACTGTTGAAACTGAGCAGCAAACAGAGATTAAGATTTATTTTAAAGTGAAAAGAATACATGATTTATTTAGAATACAAGCAATTGTTCAAAAAAAGTATTATATTCCAGTTTCCAACTTTTTTTCTTCCATCAACTTAAGTCTGAAAAGCACCAAAAACAAGCCTACACACATTATCACACTCAGGTCCTGAATAAAATGCACGAAATATCCATTTTATTAGGACAAAAAGCTAACTAAAATGAAAGCTTGTGTCTGTTTCAGAGACCATAGGGATAGAAAAGAGAAGGGTCAGAAGTTTATTATAAATAACTGAAATGTATTGAAGGCTAAAATATATTATTATGCCAATTTTGTGAGTTTAATCATGTTCCTTATGGCCTGTGATCTCCATCATCGAAAGTTAAGATGGTGTGTTTCCATTTGCATTTTGACAAGTCTTGTGTGTTTGTGTGTGGGTGTGTGTGTGCGCCTCCTTCATAGGGAGCACCCAGTACTGTGGAGGGTTGAGTTAACCAGTGGCCATGGTCCCCGTGAGGTGCAGACATCATTACAGCTCAGTGACAGGCCGCTGGTTGATCATGTCATCTTGGAAACCAGTGAGTTTAGAAAAGGTTTCAGTATTTTAGTCTTATAAAATATGAGTAACATCTTCAATAAAACAGTAAATATGACTTTTTCTTTACATTAACTGCTGTTTCCTAGATTACGCCAATGAAACAGTCAATGGGGACAGCGAGGAACCGGCTTTCTTCTCTGCCATGATGTCCTGCAGCCTCGTCAGCTTTCCATGAATTTACAGTCATCAGCTAAACACAACTAATGGGCCAATGGACTTCAGCTGCTTCATAAACCTTCGACTGCCAGAGGGTTTCCTGTCAATATATACGTCTTAACTGGTTTCTATGAACAAACTGCAAACCCTGTGTATTGTTTGTTTTCCCTAATCTCATCTGTAATAACACATTTACTGCCGAAGATGGCCTTTAGGATAAATGTGGAAAGAGCTTTCTTCAACACAACCAGAAAAAACACCAAGTATAACAGATCTTGTGAGAATTTGGAGCAACAATGTTTGAAAAGAAAAATACACACAGTTGGATTCTCAATAGTTGGATGAATGCTTCTTGGTTTAATATCATAATCTAAACCTATGTGTTTTTCAGCAAACACGTTTTGCACCTCAGTTTTATAAATCCTATAATCCTCTTTAAATTTTCTGTTAAAAATAATCTGTGTTTATATTCACACATAACCCATAAAAAATGCACTTACATCGTGTATGTGTGTGTGTGTATATTTCTGTCTGTGATTGTAAACATGCACATTTTTCAGTTCCGCCTCCGTAGCAGGAACATAAGGAAGATGGCACTGAGCAAAATAGAGAGCGTACACACAGTGGGAACAACGATCTCTGTTACCATCTCCATGTGGCTGGTCAAAGGGTCTGAAAGCACACACACACACACACACATACAACCATTAAAAACTAAGCAGCATTATTACAGTCCTAACACTACTAATGAAGCCAGTAATGATGCTTAAGCACAGCACTCAAAGGGTTAATATTTATCCCCTAAATCAAATCGCGTTTGATTGGATTTGCTGTGAGCACAAGGGATTCCTTACCATGTATAAGTCTTAGAATATTGGCAGCAGTGCTCCGCTGTTCCTCTAACAAAAGAAGAAAAAATACTCAGAGTTGATTGAACATACTTTAACCCTTTGAGAACTGCATGCAGCGGCAAGGAAATTCCTGAAAGCAGTATCTGTTTTAGCATGATGGCTTTAGATGCATTCATCAACAGGAACGGTTCATGTTTAAATTTCAAGGCTTATACTCGATATTTTGTTGTTTATTAAATGTATACTCCTGTTTTGTGGAATATGGTGTGTGCAAAGTGCTGATGTGCCCCAAACTAATGTCTTCTTTGGTTTTAGATTAAGATCAAGCATTCTAGTAACAATCGACCGACTGTTACTAAGGAAACTGCACACCGTGTCAAAGCAGCTTGCTTTAAAGGCAGAGGTTTTAGTGCTGAACAGCAGAAGCCTCAGTCTGTTAGTCACATTTTAAACCACACAGCCACAAAGTTGCACGAGAGACATCATTTCCATCAGTGAGATGTACCCTCACGTTCTAAACTTCATCATGCACTGGCCAAACCTTTGGCATTTCAGTGTGTTCCTTGGAATTTCTTCTAGCTGGAGGGGCAAACAAAGAAGATATCTCAGATGTTCTGTGAAAGTTTTGTATTTCAACGTTCCTCTTATTGGCAATAACTCCTTAATATGTGTTCTACGATCTTGAAAGAACACAAAAATAACATAAAATTCAAATAATATTGGATACTTTCACAGTATTTGCATTCAAACTTTAGAATGATCCTTTAGCTTTTACATTTGGGTCTGAATCTTAATTTGTTTACCCCAGCTAGTGATTAATCTCTTACCGGAGAAAAAACCCTGAGATTATTTCAGGACAAACTAACCTGCAGCTAGTAACTGATTGCTAGAAGAGCAGGTCTCGACTGCCTTCCTCCTCCAGTTTTCAACCTGCAAATGTTCACAAAAACAATCATAAAGAGGGACTCTTTCAGTGATGGGGGTGGGGACCAGACTTTGAAATGTCTCTCACTTCTCTTTGATTTGGAAATCCATTGGAGGCGATGACCCGTTTGTAAAATTGAACTGAAGCTTTTGGATAACGAGGCTTGTTTCTGTTCCTGAAGTCCACATAGTACAAGCCAAACCTCTCAGAGTACCCTTCATCCCACTCAAACTTGTCCAGCAGGGACCATGCAGTGTAGCCCTTCACATTTACTCCATCTTTTATAGCTGAGTGACAAAGAGAACAAAGAGGGAAATGTGATTAAACCTTTGAGTTCATTTCCATTTATCAGTTTTGCACACGTTAAGTAAGCTAAATTACCTTTCAGCATCTCATTGATATACTCTTTGAAATACTGTATCCTCCACTCATCACACAGCTCTGTGCATGACATCTTTTCAGAGACTCCATTCTCAGTCACATAAATCATTGGGTTTCCGTACTGAGTCTGGAAGGAGAACAAAGCAATGTAACTTAGCCCAGCCTGCCGGCTTTATGATCGTCATCATGACAAATGGTATCACCTTGACAAAATTTAGCAGGCGCCTGAAACCCCAGGGCACAGAGTAGAGCCACTCTGACCCAGGATCAGGCCACCTAGGGTCAACCAGCTCAGCCAGGTCACGGTCGGTGAAGTAGGAGCTGCTGCTGCGGTCTGATGGATTGTTTTTCTGGGTGATGTAGCGCGTGGTAAAATGCCCGATGCCGAGGAAGTCACACGTCCCCTTTATGTAGCTTTTCTCTTGGGGGGAAAATGTGGGCAGTCGGGACGTCCCCAGTCCCTGTTGGGCACTCTTCCTTCCTGCACACATAGTTACAAGTAAGGCTTAGTTGATTCCCTAGTGATGATTATCATTAAGGGTTTAGGTGTTGACCACCTACCAACAAAGTCTTTCATGACTTGAGGGTAGTCTCCATGAAATATGGGTGTGGCAAACCATCCCAGGTAGAACTGGACATATCTCTCTGCGGCTTCAATGTCCTTCTGGTTGCTGATGTCCACCGGCTCTCCCCAGTCCCCCGACAGAGAGATGCCCACCATCCCTACAGATGTGAGCAGCAGCTTTCAGCACCCAGACACACACTCACAGGTAAATGTTCAACCACTGTGCATTCGTTTTGTCTGACCTTTTTGTTTTCCCCTCCACTGAGTATCATAGGTGTGCCAAACTTTGGCATGGGCCTGTGTGGAAAAGACACTTTTTATATTTCAGTTTAGAATGAGTGGATTTAATGACTGAGCACATTAGCAGCGTCCCACCTTGATTATGTTATGCGCCGCTCTGTACGCACCCATTCCTCTCAGCTTTAGTCCAGGAGCATGTTCACCTGTCTCATAACCCTCAACTGCAACAGACTGTAGGTGAGTGTTAGAGAAATGACAACCTGCATTCGGGGTTTGCCTTCCTTCCAATCAGTCTTATATATAGTTTTCTGAGGATATTAATTTTTTTAAAGTGAAGCTGTTGCCTTTTATAGAAAGTACCGGGAATGACCTAAAACATTATTTATTGTCCAGTTTTTCCCTTCCTCCTGATAAAACACATCTAAAAAGAGCTTCTATGCCATAACAAGTAAGCAAACATCACATTATAGAGGTCCATTCTTATGGAAAACACCAGAGCATAGGTATATTGAACGAATTGGAAATACTGGTGAACATACCCATGGGTTGTTGAAAGTGATCCAATATTTTATCCGATTGCCAAACCTTTCAAAACACAGGTTGGCGAATTCATTGAAATGATTGACCATGCTTATATTCTGCCATCCTCCGTATTTCTCTTGCAAAACCTAGAAGATCATATAATTCAATATATCATTTGAAGGGTGGTCAAGGTTCAAGTTGTGGTTAAACCTGGGTCAGTAATTATAGGACTACCAACCTGTGGAAGATCCCAGTGATATAGTGTTACGATGGGAGTGATTTTGTTCTCCAGCAGGTGGTCAATCAGTTGGTCATAGTACTGTATTCCCTTTTCATTGATATGATCAGCTGCAATTGGTGTTAGAATGTTGATAGCTCTTTACTAATTAGATCACACGTGACAGTGTGGCTACCAGAAGGCTTGAATTGACAGCAGGTACTCACACTTTATGCCAGTAGGAATCAGTCTTGGCCAAGAGATGGAGAAACGGTAGTGATTAAGCTTCAGTTCCTTTATAAGAGAAACATCATCCTGCACAAAAGGCATGGAACAGAGTGAACTTTTCAAATATCTGTGCACTTAACCAACTGCTGTTCTCTTCCATTTTTTTTCATTTTTAATCCTACCTTGATTTTGTAGTAGCCCTCGCAGGAAGAATCCCCAGTTTCATTGAGTAGGATTTTGCCTTTCTTGTGGCTAAAAACGTCCCAGATGCTCAGTCCTTTTCCATCTTTGTCCCAGGCTCCTTCTGTTTGATACGCTGAACTTCCGGCACCCCATGAAAATCCTGAAAAAAACATCATCAGTGTGGTCAGCGCTAAGGAGGACCCTTTGGCAGTAATTCAGAACACTGCATTTCTCCCCGAGAATTAGCTTTGCATACCAGCTGGAAAAGTGCCATAATAGAAGGCACCGTGGTTGTTCTTTGTCCAGTCGAAGTCCTCAGCCGCAGACAGACACAGCACCAGCATAAGCACATGGCACACACTGGCTTCACAGCGGGGCAGCATGGTACTTGTGAGCCTGCAGCGCAGCTGGTTTCTCGTTGTCTTCCAGTCCCTCACTGATGCCTGCAATGGGAAAAGAAACATTCAGCATCCATGTTTAATGACACCAACAAACATGTTTCTAAGCTAAGGAGCACACAGGATTGAGAATAGGGCAAAAGAAAAAAAAAGGGATATCAATAAACTGTCATGGAGCAGCCTGGAAGCATCCACTGGGACTGTGGGTGGGTCCCACATCCCAAATGCAAAGCCAAATGTCTCTTTTCAAACTCAATGGAGTGGAAGCTCATCTTGCCTAGGCAGACAGATCCCATACAAATTGTGGTTTCACCTCTGTAAGCAAACCTTATGCTGGTGAGAAAGATGCATTTACCGTCAACAACCATGTGAGCACGTGCAAACTATTTCAAATGAATATGCAATTTACAGTATAACAGGATAGTGAAAATTCATTTAATCCATTTCTTAATACTATAATACGATTTTATATTTTACAAACGTCACCTGCAAAGTAAACACAATCATTACTCAATTTTCATACTTTTCATTACATTTCAGGCCCGTAGGTCTGCAGTCTGAGAGCTACACTGTGTCATCACCTAACTGCACTTGAACTGCAGAAATTCTAAATCCCAAACATGGTAAAAACATTGTCTTAAAAATAGAGTGCTGGCTATGTTTAGATCAGTTGTGAGCATTGCAATTAACATTTGAATAAGATAACTTCATTTTACAAAATTCCAAACCATCCACATACAGTTACCTGAGAATGTTATGTGGTATGCATTTGTTACAGGCATACAGGTGGAGCCCTCGTCCTGGAGTAGCACAGCATGTAGAAAGCTGTATATATCTATTGCAGAGTTCTCTATTGTGTATTCCCTGTTGTAGCACCACCCTTCTCCAGAGCTGTCCCTGCTGTCTGTGTGAAAGCTGGCCTTATTGTGGGGCACCCTGTATTGTTTTAACTGTTTAGAAAATGCTGAATGGTTTTCTAGTGGAAAGTGATTGCACTGCATTACCCATTTGCCTGGCTCAGATTAGAGTGAGAATTACCATTATTGAATATTATAGTAAACCATTCACACCTGAAAACACTATGGCTTGCAATGCATGGTAAAATAAATGAAAAATTATTGAAACATATGCAAAACATTTATTTTGTGCTTGTCATTTCTTACACAGTACACACAGATCAACTTTCATATGGCCCAGCCATATTTTCAATTGGACACATCATCATTTAAATTCTTCTTTTTTAAGGTGTATTTTAGCTCTCATTCATATCTCTTCATATCAATGCACGATATGTGTAGGAAGCTACTGTATAAGCACCTAATAATACTGCCGTTACTATATTCCAGGGAGACATTTCCCATGAGATTTGACACAACCAACATGGTGAGAAATGCAGACGACATGCCTTAAGTCAGGCAATGAGAGGGTAAATCTAGCACCACACATCATTACACTGAAACTGTTACTCACTCCATCCAAATAACTTAAACTTACTAACTAATACCACATATAAAACAGGTGTCTTCACGTGGAGCAGACACTTCTCTTCACTGGTTAAACTGCTTCTAGGCCATCATTCTCAGTAATTATCATCCTCTTCGTCCTCGTCAGGCACAAATTCTGGCGCATCGTCGTCTTCCTCCTCCTCATCTTCCTCCTCTTCCTCGTCCTCTTCCTCATCTTCCATGTCATAATCTACAGCAGCATTCAGCAGGAGTTTGGTTTGATTGATCTCGCTTTCATCATCTAGATTGACGTGAACCTGGGAAGGGTTTAAAGAAACATACATAAAAAACGGAGCATGCTAGTCACAATTTGACCACCACACTGAAAAATACTTTGCAACAAAGTTAAGTCAGTGTCAGAGGGGTCAAGCAGAAGAAATATTTTTGAGCAATTACATGTAAAATATTCAAACTCTTGAAAATCTTGTTATAGCCTTGAGGCAGTTGGTGGCAAGTGAACATCTGAGATCTATGTTGAATTTATTCTTAACTTTCTGCTTTTTATATCTTTAAGCACTTTAAATGGTCTTATACACAAAGTGTTCTATAGATTTGCCTTGCCTACAATTTTAAATGGTCTAAAGATAATCTTACGCAGCAATATACAGTCAATTTTCATTTTTCATACGTTTCAGTAATCTGTTAATCCAGGCAAATGTAGTGGCTTATGTGTTCACACAATCACATATACCTATATGTGCACTGTATATATATACACACACACACACGTATGTACACATTTACTGCAAACCCATATAGAATGCTAAATAAATGCTGTATGTGGGCAGTTTGCAGCCTGATGACATACAGTGATTTACCTCAGCTTCAAGGGATGAGCGTTGAGAGGCTCCTTCTTCTGTGTGAGCGTTGATGATGGACTTCAAAGCTCCCTCTTCAAACTAAATTTCAGGGTAGACACAATGTGTAAACCTCAAGTACATGCACAAACACAAAGAACTGTTCATATGGCGAATACACACTCACCTTCAAGCGGTTCAGTTGGTCTTGTAACATGACTTTGATTTTGAGGAGAGTCTCCTCTTCCCTCTTCAACTCCTGCAAACGGCTGTGCATTTTTCCTGCCGCAGTCAAACCATTCCTCGGGACTGAAAAGCAAAAACAGGGGCCAAGGATTCAGTGCAACGGGGCTATTTTTAGTTTCCCTCACACTAACATGCATAAAGCCCAGTGCACGAAATGCACACTTTCTTAACCAATTGAGTTCAGTCTTCCAGGAGTGTAATATGTCTCACTTTGCCATTTTCAGTCCATTATTACATGTAGATAGTGTCATTTAATCGAATAGCATGCACAAAATTGCTGTGCTAATATATAAAACACACGTTATTAGGAAGAGCAAAAGGTTTAAAATAAGACCAGTCAAATGTATTCGGTTGTTATTGTTAGCCAGATGCTAAAGAAAACAGTTTTGTGTGGAAAAACGATGTTGGGCACTAACCCAAATTCAGAACAAAACTCATTTTGAGACCATTACCTCTGTTTAATAATTCTTCCTAAAGCTCCATACCAACGTTGGAAACGGTGAGAAGCTGGATAGGATGACTTTGTTTGGATACTGGGAGTCAAGCTGCTGTGCTACAACTACAGGCTACTAGCTAAAGTTTTGTTCCTGTGATGCTTACTGCGGTCATTTCCGGGTCTGGCTGCTTTCAAATGCTGGAGGAAAATGTTGGGCCACTCTGGGGTGAATGGTGTGTCTCAAGATTTTGCCAATGTGTGAAATTGGGCATTTGCAGGTTAACTGCCCCTCAGTACCTTAAATCTATGGGCTTACCACAAACATTTGATTATCAATCAATTCATTATGAGAGCCTCTAATATTTCTGTATATGCCGTTTCCTACTAACAAACATGCATGTGTATATCAAAAATAGCAAAAATCGAAAAGTATATTTATATATACAAATTTTCACATTTCGTTGAGAAAATAAACTTTAGACAGCTGAATATAAATTAGTATTGATCTCAATTGAACGCCCAGAAATATAAATCACGATAAGCATTAAATGCAGCATCCAAAGTGCGTAGCTGTTCAAATGGCGACATCTTGTGGTGTGTCGACTGTTATCCCATACTTCTTGGAGCAAATGCCTTTATTTAAAGACTCTCTAAAATGCTGAGTTTTATCAGACAATAAGAAAACCAAATGATGTTTGGGGCAACTAAACATTTGAATCTGTCATAAAGAAAGTAAACACTTCAACATGTTGATCTCAGTGGCAGGCTTATCAATAGCACATGTATCAATCCAATGGTTCCTTATTACCAGTTATCAATAGCAGCTCCTACTTTTAAACAAAGGTTTGAAGTGGCAGGTGTCAACTTTACAGTACCAGGAAGCCTAATTTGTAACACATGTAGTTCATAGTGTCGAGTCCCCTTTATAAAACGCACAGGTCACACCAGAGGAAGGCAGAGCAGAGAGGGCCGGCTGCCTCTCCAGGCTGTGTAAGCAGAGTGTAAATTTGCCTGGCAGGACTCCTAATGATACTTTTACTGCAACAGACGATGAAAAATCACTGACATTTGAGGATTATAGGTTTGCAAATATGCTAAGAGAATAAATTTGTAAATAGCTAAAAGTTCTGACAGAGCTCTTGAGAGTTTTGAACATTTCCATGCATGCTCAGGAACAAAGGACAACTGCACAAAACTCAGTTTTTATCTAAGAACCTGACCTGCCTCGCAGACAAATATTAATCAGTGGTGCACATTATTAGCAAGGTTTTAAGGTGCCCCTAAATCCCTCCCTGCCCCCCACAATTCTGAAAAGAGGTAGTGGAGGTAGAGACCAAATTCAGTAAAACAAATCACAGATGGAACTTGTTGATGTGAACAAGATCTGAAACGGCTCCCAATCAGTCTCAGAAAATGTTTGAAGAGCCCATTAGGTCCTTTATAGGATTTCTTCACTAAGTTAATCCAGATGTGTGTGTTGATAATCACACAGTATGCAAGCACAACTGGAGACTCACAGCGGAGGCCAGCCACTGGAAGTTATACACCCATCTGTGTTCAGACACAGGAAAACATGGGGACTGTGGAATAAGTGTCTTACATTCCCAATTCCTGGCATTTTTGTTGCTTTATGTGCAGTTTTACATTGATGGGATTGTGGGATCAGGATCACAGTGAGGGAGCAATTCCACACTCATGAGATTATGAGGCTGTCATTGTCCAGTTCAGAATTACAAGGGCAATTAGAGTGGAAAACCTTATACAGACTTTAGTGTGTAATTCAGTGGATGACAGATAAGTGTCTGAGCTCAAGAGTTCAGTAAAGCAGTGCACCATGCTTTAAAACTATGTTAAAGCTGCTCATCACCGTGAGTGGCACTGAAGACATAACTCCGTACTGTGTTAGGACTGCATGTCTACAAAATATGCCGTGCAATATGTTACATGATCTTCCCCTGCTAAGCCCTGTATTACTGATCCAAGCACACAGCTGCATTTGAAACTGAAAGAAACACTTGTGCTACCTTGTTGCGAAGCACGCCATCAGGTATGTTCGCTTTGAATGTATGCTCTTAAATGTTAGTTCTGTCAATTGAGAGTTTTGAAAAGGGTGCATTTGATCACATGCTCTGACTTATTGTCTGTTTTGTGGATTAGTTGTTGCAGACTTTTCAGTACAGCCATACTTTCTGAGAATATGAGACACTGTGATGACCTATAGTGAAATAATCTACTGCACTAATTTTTTGGGGAAAAATGCAAGCAGCTCAGACGGATACTCTGAGCAATACCAGTATATCAACATTACTCTTCCATCACTATCATCTCGGAGTTTATCTTTAGTCTGCTGTCGTTTTAGTTATCATTTTCTGTTATCGTCTAACAGTCTAAGATATTCTATCAGGAAGAGCATCTGAACCGTCTCTCTCTGCCATGCTCCTCAAAGAGCCTGCACGCCGGTGAGCCTCTCACAGTCTATTGGTGAGTTTCAGCGCATGTGCAGACACCACCGTTTGTCTCACATCATCTCATATTTTATATTATTCTTCTTGTTCTTTCAATTCTTTGTATAAAGCAAAATAAAGACTTTATGTTTCTACTTTATTATGTTATTTTTAAAAGGATTTTCTAATTTCAGTTGTTTTTTTTAACGGTGCCAGCCTGTTAAATCTACTCTGAGGATCACAGCTGATACACAAGGATACACCCCATTAAGAAGGGTCTGCTGATTCTCAATGCAAAACACAAAATGAGCAGGATACGCCTTAGGGAATGAAGTTAACTTGTGAAATGTCGAAAGTTTCTGCTTACACTGTTTGGCTGAGGGACAGATGCCAGTGGTTTTCAAGACGGGAGTACATTTAGTTTTGCTGCGTGGATTAATTTAATGTTCGGTACTTTGCATTTGCCATGTTGTGGTGTGTCACCATGTGCAGGAACATCACTGTTTTACTGTTTTATGAAGCCTTGGGAGGCAGATCCCCACTAACAGCTTGGCTGTGTAGTGGGGATCTCGAGCATTGCAGGGGGGGTTACATGAAAAGGCGCTCCGGGGTGTACGGCCTGAAATCGCAGCTGTCGGCCTCCCAGCACAGACGTGAGGGGGCCCCTCTGTGGCACGGGAGTTTTACTTGGAGTCACTCTCAGCGCTCGGAGGTGACTAATGCTGGACAGTTATCACTGGGCTCCTCGAGAGAGACAGTTGTTTTCTCCTTGTCGTCACACAGACCGTATTGCAGCCACGCTGCAGTTTGAGCCCAGTGAGAGCCCTCCCCGGCCGGGCTCGGACCTGGTGCTGAGGTTTTTGGCGGCAGCTGAGGCTGCAGCAAAGCCTACCCGCATGCCGCTGGTGGTGCTGGCCGTCTACGCTCGTGCGCCATTTGAAGGTGCTCCCACCATCTGTGGAATGCAGCGCCAGGCGTTTTGGATGAGGGGCCTACCGGAGGGGAGGGAAAAGGCAGGGAACCCAGAAAGAAAGACAGAGGGGAGGGGGGTGACCTTTGAACAGTGCCATCAGGAAATTATGACTCAGTTATTAATTGGGGCAGTAAAACACAGAGGGTACATAATGTTTCCCTTAACTGATCGCTCCCAGTTCCTCTCTTGACCTGGAAATCATTCTCGTACTCCATCATGAGGACCCTTCTAAAGCGTTTATTTCTGCTCTGAGGAGCGGAGATCAAGGAGTAAGGAGGGGTCTCTCTGGAGGTTTAAGACCAGCCTATGCACAAGGCCTCACACCAGGCAGATACACTCCTTTACTGGAAGTCTGTTGGTCGTTGCAGGCTACAGCTGATGTGAAGATCTGAAACGCTTCAGTGTTTGCAGTTTTCTCTCAAAGTTAACAACTTACTGTTGGTAAGATATTAAAAGTATCGTCATCATTTTTAGGCAGGAATCCTCTTAATGTGTATTATCAGTAACATTCTGACTACGAGTTGAGATCAGCGTGTGAGGTCATTAGTATGGCCTGTTTTTTTTTGTATTGCAGCTCAGAAAAACTTGATGTTGACCAGCGTCTTGTCATTTGAGAGTTCTTTCTGTTTTAACTCACTTTAGGAAAATAAAGCTCTGCAATTATGACACACCATAGGTCAGGTCTTCTGTGGACGGTGAAGGGAAGCGTGTGGGTGGGAGCTCCGGGATGTTTCCTCTTAAGCGGGACTGTGAGGGTGACAGGAGCCCAGGGCTCTATGAAAAGCAAATGCTTGTAGGGATAGCAGAGCCTTTGTTCCCCAGGACCTACCTTTACATTTCCTGTCCTGAACTCCCACACACATATTCATGCAATTTGGCACGCACACCCTGTTGGACAAATGTATCAAAGTAAGTTAATACTAATCAGGACAATCTCCTGCACGTACACAGTTAGAAAAATATGGATGCATACTTCAATGGTGAATACATGGATGTTGTCCTTGTGCTCATACAAATCCAGGTGTGCACAAATACCCGTTAATGTGTTAACCCTTTAATTTCCTCCTCAACCATTTGGTAGAGCACATTTTTCACTGATTATACTCATTCATGGACTACAAGAAGACCAATTACCACCCAAACTATCTGTGATAAAAGCAGTTAATCTGATTATCAATGCTCCAAAGGAATAAAAAAATGCAAAGAAACATTATCTTATTCTTTTTAGCAGTGCATATTTTAAAAAATGAAATAAGTTCCAAAAGACAGTTTATTTCTTGCAAACAGCATCTTTAATGTAAGAAAAGGAAATTATCTATTGATGATGTGAGAGGGGATTTAGGATAATTGTCATCCAACTTTAGGCTAAAACTTTTATCTCAATGGGCACTCTTCCACTGAATCTGAGAGGACATTTGATAATCCGGTTAATCCCATCATTGTGCTTTGATCTACTGTATGTTTTCTGTCTTTCGACACTTGCTTAATTTGTGTAAGTCAATAGTTGGCGGCCAAATACAGCTGTGGTACTGTCTTCTTTTGTCAACAACACAGTGAGAACAACATTTTCCCACCATGTCTATATTATGATCACAACTGCAATATTGGAAAAGTTTTCATTCTGGCCAAGCAAAATAAAGCATATTCACCAAAGCTGGTTCACAGAGGTTTGATTACATTCTGTGAGATTGAACAGGACGTGTAGCACACTGTGAATACAGGGAAGAGGGAAAAAGTGGAGGAGGTGCTGTTGCCAGCAATACTTTGCAC